AATTTACTAAGAGTTTCCTGCTCACCTTAACTACTGTGTGCAACTCACATCTCAGACACAGTGAAGAGGGAAGAAAAGAAAAATCCACTGTAATTACCTTTACAGTATATCTTAATAAAAGTGCTGTAACTGCTGGCTCTTAACAGGCCAACCTTCGGAAGAGAATGATACTTTAGCATTTTTCTTAATCAAATGTTCAATCAGTGGTTCTCAAACAGGGGTCTGGTAACCCTCCCAGGGCCCCTTATAGACTGAACTTGAGGGTCCTTGGAAACAAAGGGCCACATTTTCTCTCACAATCCCATAAAATATTGGGTATAATTAACTCAATGGGGTGCAATTAACCGAGTCAGCTCTGACAGCTCCACAGAACACAGGTCAGACTGTTTCCAACGTTAATATTTTATGATTATAGTAGAGCATCATAAACTATAATTATTTAATCAATCTGATGGATTTAAATTGGAGGTCTTTCTTGACAGTAGTTTCTTGAAAACTATGTCCCCAATAAAAAAAAGCCTGAAAACTCTTGTGTTGTGACATTTAACAGTATATTTCTGGAAACTAATGGTACAAGAGCTACTGCTAATATTACTTATATTACTGATTATAATCTTTATCCTACTGTATCTACTCTCAAATTCCGATTCAGTTCAAGGAGACCAAATAGTTAAGCAACATAATTTTGCAACCTCAAAACATTAACGCTAAAGATCACATTCTAACCAAGTCCGTGACTGCAGTCCCACAAAAAACATTTCCCCCAGAAATGCTAAAATATCCAAATATTTTTCCTCCTGTTTGTTGCATGTAAGAACTCTGTAACTGGCTGAATGGCTCCCAAAACTATTTCCAAACAACTGATTGTCCTGAAATTTGAAATGAAAATTGGGCATCCTCAGAGCTTCAAGGACAGGGATCAAGCTTTTACAGTATGCATGTCAACATGGTGTCACAGTGCCATTTTAATGCCTAAACAGTCTTTTGCAATCTTACATCATATCTTTACATATAATCTGAATCATTGGTTGTAGCCATAACACCTTATCTAAATGTCCAATTTCAAAACTCAAAAACTCCTTCCCTTGTGGAAAGCTTAACTTCTAATTTCATCGCTTGTGTCTAGACTCTCTGATTATTGATACATTGGATTCAGGTCACAAAGAAATGAGTGGCTTGTCTCATTGCCCTCTTCCTTTCACCAGCAATGACTGAGCCCAGCAGTAAAGGATTGGTTTAACAGAGGAAGGCAGTCATAGGCTTTTAAGATGAAGCATTTAAGATTATATTAGGAGCATTATTCTTTATTTTAGCTGGTAAGTCGCTGGTCCAGAATCCAGAACCTTAAACACTGCTCCATCTTGCTACCTAATCCTTGAGCCCACTTTTTACATATAAAATCACCCTCCATCTAATATACTGTATATAGGCAATATGGTTCATAAACAGAATACATAAATGAAATTGCTTACTAATAAATCCAAATAAATCTGAGTCCTCCACAATGTTCAGTTTATGGCTGTAGCCACAACTGCACATCAATCATAATACCATTGCACAAGCCAATTAATGGGAAAAAAAATTGCTGAGCAGTTACGCATATATTTCCAAATCTGATTAATTTGTAATATTCTCCCCTTTAGTCACTCACTCGTGACTGACTCATTGGGAATTTTTATTTTTTATTTTTTTTCTTTTATTGAAGGGGCTAAATTGATTTGAAACCAAAATAATAAAACTTCCCAACCTGCTGACATTTCATAAAACAAATTATAGAGCCGAGGGATTTACACGGGTTTAGCGCGTGCTTTTCTTCTACCAGAGTTATCAATGCAGGGAAGGATCGTTAGAGCCCTGCTAAATTAATAATCTTAGATCATTGCTGTTCATCTCTGACTGCAATTGATCAGAATTAAAGCAGCATGAGGTAGTAGTGTTGAATAAGCTGAAGGAAAGTTCTCAGATTCCCTTTAGCAATAACAAAATTTATGGGTAATTTTGAAAATTTAGTGTGCTGTTTCTACTTAGGGATCACATATGATTCTGCTTCGTATTTCATATTTACACATTTAATCTCACATCGGAGTTTTGTGCGTAATTATTCAATTTGATATCTGTCTTTCTTGGTATTAACATTAACATTTCACTCACATTGGCTTTCTTTAATGTTCAACTTAGATCCTATCCATGCATTTCAAAATACTATCCATCCATTTAAACTAATACTATTATTATTGTTTAGAATTCCATTATATTTCAAAGTATTCAAATATTGTTATAACCCTGTCTGTGTTGTAAAACAGTGAATGTCAAAGAAAATAAAGTGGTCTGTGAAAGGTAAGTGAATGTCTATGACATTCTGTAGGTTTAATCACAATTAAGCAGAAGAGGAGCAGAGTTCTATTTTTTCCAGAAATATTTTGAAAAACACATCCGATAGGTACTGTAGATAACACAGGAATTACGGAATCTGGGAGAATAAATATTATTTCATGCAGTACATGTCATTTGGTAGGTTGAACTACATAACACCAGATGTTTCCAGTTACAATTGAAGGTGTTGAAACACTTGCTGCTACACCTTCCAGGTGGTAAAGTGGCTTTGTATTCCCAGGGCTGAACCATTTCAGCAAAAGTATCTTTTGAAGGAGCATTTTATAGCTTGTAGGAATTATACAGGAGAAGGAGGATGAAACCATTATACTGTGGTAGCGGAGGGATTAAAGTGTGATGCTGCCTTGTTTCTTCATGTCATTTTCTCTCTTTGAGCTCATAGAACTCCTCTGATAAATTCTTTCTCCTACAATAGTTATCAATCTAAGAGAAAAGTCAGTACAATAGAGAGTTAATAAGAGCATGGTGGCGTAGTGGTTAACATTGCTGTCTCGCATTACAGGGGCTGTGGGTTCAATTCCTGGAGTGTTTTTGCATAAAGTTTGTATGTTCTCCCTGTGTTTGTGTGGGTTTTCTCTGGTTTCCTCCTACAGTATAAAGAAATATTGTCACGTTTATTAGCTTCTGGGAACATTGGCCCTGTTATGAGTGTGTGTGTTCCCTGCGATGGACTGGAGTCCTGTCCAGGGTGTATCCTGTCTTCTGCCGGTTGCTTCCCAGGATAAGCTCTATCTCCCCCTTGACCCTGTAGTGGTTTAAGAGGAAATAGATGGATAGACGGAAGGAAAGATGCACACGCCTATTAAAAAAAATGACTGTTCCCCTGCTGCAAGGTGTTAATAAAGCCAAGCTGCATGTAGTATTTCTTCTGCTACTTGTTGAGCCGCCAAATAGTGTTTGTCACAGGAGACCTGCATGTGATTAACCAGTTGATTTTGCCCTCTGAGCTCACTCTGTAACAGAATATATATATATATCCAGAAATAATAGAAAGAAGCAAAACTATCAATATAATCAAACAGGCTTCTGAAATATAAAGGTGTCTTGGCCTTTCTGATCCATGAAGAGAAGCTCGTGATTCAGCTCACATGACCATAATGCACAGATTTTCTTTGTTGTAACCGCTGTGTCATCTGTAAGTTACTCAATGTAAAATTTGCAGAATGTACGTTTTTACAATTCACCAGTTGTTCCAATTAGAATTAGCTTTGGATGAATGTGTCAACTAAATAAATATAACCTTTATTGATGTATGTAGTATTTGGGTATAACACAAACCTACAATATACAAGCGGTAGGAAACAGACCAGTTCTTTTACATTTTATGCGTGACAGTCCTCACTAAATACAGTATGTTATGTACTATATCTACTGTACTTACAAAATGCAACAGACTTACAGATATTTTGAGCCAGGTTTATGGATGTAACCCTTTTGCTCAAGATTCACAGTAATCTATTAGCATTGCCACTAATGGGCATTGTGTCTTGGCAAAAATTAAAGACACAATCAATTAAACATTGTATTATTTTAACACAGATTGAAGGCAGTGTTGCCAACTTCTCACTGAGTCAATAACTGACTGTCAACAGCAGCAGGTACTGTTTACACCCTGCATCTCATTGATTGGCAGAGTGACTCACTGTCAGTGCTGGACACAAAGTTACTAGTTGCCTCAATTTCAGGCTCCTGGAAGCCTGACCACTATCAAATGTCTTAAGTGAGGGCAGCTCTTACATTGAGCAGTTCTACCTGGGAATTAACACTTATTCCCAGTGCTCAATTGCTCATTCTCCTCACCACAGCTGAGCTCAAAAAAGCAAACTGGGGATTTAAATGCACCCAATATTGTTGTCAGGAAATACCATGAGGCAAACGAAGTGAAGAAAAATGTAGGGATTTCTCCCAACATTTTGGGAGATTTGCAGATTACAGCCTGAAATGTATTACAGATTTCACAGTATCTGAAAAAAAGTTCTAAGGCGTATTCCAAATGCTCTACCTCTAGCAACTAGGCCATAAGGCACCAGTGTATGTTCATTTGGCAATGATGAGAAATAGTGGCATTTACAAATGACTACCCCCCCCCTTTCAAATGCAAAGAGCTGTCTTTGCATGTGCGAAGCCTTCCAGCGGATCCCCCCTGAGGCGGCGTGTTGTCGTTCTTGTAATCGCCACGCTCATTACTGTTTCAATATTTAAAATATACCCTGTCATCCTTCACAGCGTTGTGGGTTTAACAAATTTGAATAATTGTTGCTCATGATACCAGCCAGAACTACTACTAGCCCGGGCGCATGAAGCACTCATGTATGTAAATTGATGTATAATGTGCCCTACATTTGTTCCGGTGATATTATTCAGCTTCAGTTTCAGCGCTGTCACTTTGTCATACATCTCCTTCAATGAGCTGGACCAGCTGAATGAAGTGGTAATTTATGCAGCTTGATGAGTGATTCTGAGCGCTTGAGTTATTGATAAAGCACTTAGGCATATCATTTCCAGCTTGATGTTATGTGACATCACGGTGTGGCGATGTGCAGCTCTCCCCAGGCTGTAGCTATTAAACCTAAACCTTTTCTTTTTTTTTCCTTCCTTGTGCTCAGGAAACAGAGGAAGTGTGGTGCAGCCTGACACAGGCAGTGGCACGGCCGACCAGACCCAGCATAACCAGAGCCACCCTGCTTACCCTGTTGGACCACAGGTGGGTTACTGCTCCTTCTTTACCTCACTGACACGGCAGAGGGTGTCGGCATTCGCGAACAGGGTCGGAAACTGAGATGAGATAAAATAAGTTGTCTTCGGCTGCTTCTGCTTTCTTTCCTTCTTGCTCGCTATTGTTTTAACAAGACCAAGTGCTCATTGAGAGTTGATGCCTCTCCTCTTCACCAGGGAGTGGTAACATAAAAAATGTGCAAGATATTAGTGAATTTTCGATGTTTTGGTTCATATATCTAAACATATCTAAACAGTCTGACTGTATGCATTTACTTTATAACCAACACTAGGAACTGTAATGCAGTAGACATGTACCTAAGCTAGGCAGTGTTTAATGCATGGAATTCTAAAAGTATACTAATGTATTTGTTTTATTATGACAATTAATGTACTGGATACGAACTGTATGTACAGTAAGTAAACAGAAAATAATTATTTTGTCTGAATTTTCACTGTATATAAATGTATACAGTATGAGATATTATTTGAAGTATTACAAAGGCTTATTTTGCCTTTTATTTTTACTTGAATGTTTTTCATTGATATAATTCCGATAAAAACATGACTATTAAAATAAAAAGGACTTTCAGGGTTCAGAATCAACAAAACACAATTGCCTCACAAGGGTCTTGCAGAAATTCAGTGTCAACATTTTTTTCTATAGGCCCCAGACACCCAAATTCATGGTTACCCAACAAAAATAAACCATGCGTGGTGGGATTCACTGAATATTTAACTTTCATGTGGAGTTTCTGCCTTTTTGAAAAAGTGTCTAGTGATATCCAATGTGTTAAACCCTCTGTGAATATAGGCCAGCATGTTGCAGAAACAATATGAAACCAATCCCTAGATATTTCACCAGGAGCTTTTCATATTCACTGAAATGTTTAAGGTTTTTGTAAATTCCCTAGTGAAATATTTAGTGATTGAATGAAATCCCCAGTTTCGCTTTGTTACTATAATACATACAGTATATACAAGGAAGACACTGTAAAGTTACAGAATTGAATAATTTACATAGTCTAGTTCAAAAGCTTGTGTATGGGGTTATAAGAATTGTATAATAAGAATTGTTATAAGACTATAGTATAATCCTAGCTACAGTATGTTTTAGGAACTCCACAGAATACTTCAGGGAATGTATTAATCACTATAGGTTTTTGACTGAAATTCACAACTCTGACAATAAGTATGTGCAAAATGGTGTTATTGGTTTTCTGTTCCTGTGAGATAATAAAATTGACTAAATATTTAAAAGTGAATCTATTTACTAATAATTAGCATATACAGGTCTTATGTCTTGAATGAGGCAAGTGTTGCAGTTTCGACTGGAATTGATTTTGGATTGGTATCTGCAGGGATTGTTCAATCATGTCCTCTTACTGTACTTTCTGTCTTCCTGCTTTAGAGTCAAGAGCTACTAGAATGTGCTAGTGAGAGCTACTGTATAAACTCCAGCAAAGAAACAGGGATGAGGGTAAATTATTGCTGCCTTGCAGAAGAGCCTAAAGAGCTCAGAACAGGGTACTGCGTAATTACAGTAATTATTTATTTTTTGATGGTGGAGGCAAAATCTCAAAGGACAGCTTTTAAAGTTACATTGCAAAATCTCCTCAACTTTATAGGACTCCACATACACTTAAAATGTGCTTATTTAAGTCATTTTGCTTCTGTTTCTTGAACCTCCTTTGTCTTCTCTTAAAAAAGTAATGTTTTTTTTTAATTTTCTCCATTATCATCATGGTTAACACTGTGAATAGAACTCTGGGCTTAATTACAAAAGACTGTCAGCTTATCTTCCAAGGCAAGATCCATTTTGTTGTCAAATTTCACGCTGAGTAACGGGTCTCCATGGCCCAGTCCTCAAGTGAACCTTCTGTCTCTGTTATTGCTCTTTTTGTTGTGTTGACAGTTTTATATTCATTTTACTGGTTCACAGGAGTAAACAGCTCGATAAAGAGGAACCTCGCACTTAATTGGATTTATTGGTTTGATGGCATGGGGAGATTTAATGAACTACAGGCCTATTAGCACAGCACTCGATTGCCTTTGATCACACATTATCACAGCATTGAAGTGTTCCTAATGGTGTCTTTCTGAGGGCTTTATACAATTAAGGTGTTTAATTATGGTATTTAAGTGACCGACCACACCTCTGACAGGGCTCAGTTGAAAACTTGGCCTGTGATTTGTATACATATTTTAATTAAGAGAGTTGTGTAGCTTTTTAATAAAAAACAAGAAAAATGTTATGTTTCTCCTTTCTCACATTTAGCATCCAGGGGCCTGACTAGTGACTTATTGTCTGACAGATTACTTTTTTCATTAGCATAATAATTAGAATATTAGCCGTAGGTTCCTTTCTCTATTGAAAGTGACACTTTTTTGTGATCATAAAACACAGATTTTAAAGATCAAAAGGCTATGCACTTTTTCTCCTGGAGAGTCCCCTGATAAGTTAATGCTTAGTAGCACCTTATCAATAAATGGAATTAATAATGAAAGTCAGGAAATTTTTAAAAAGACACCAATTCCTGTGAGTCCTATAGATAAATGCAGGTCTAGTCCAATCTATCCCGCATTCACTGGGACAGCACTTATCACTGTGTCAGCAAGTCACACTGCATCTTTCTTACTGATGTCTTTCTATCCAGTTGTGCTCATTCCTGCCCCCTACTGCTTGCTCCTGCTCTCTGCCACTTCCGGCTGAACCTGCAATCTTTTTGGTACATTTAAAAATGTGTGTATGGTGTTTCAGCTACTCCCTGTTCAAACGCCATCTTACCTCTGCTTCATTGACAAATGACACTCTTACCTCTGCCAAGGATCTAATCTTCAACAACTCTGACGATCCCCTTCATGAAATCAAACCGCTTCCCTCCCACCTTCAATTGGCATCCAGTGGTCAGTCTGGCAGTTACCAAGGAAACAGCCACTCTCTCCAGGACTCAGCCTCCCAAAGAAGAATATTTGACCACGTGGTTCAGCATTTGGCTTGCTGACTCTGTGCCCAATATGACATCAAAGACTGAAAAACACTTACTTACTTAAACACTTAACATTATAAGCTCAGCATTTACTCAGGCCTGCTCAAGTTAGTCTTAGGGGTTCTTACAACTATGTCCGTGTGAACAAGCTGTTAGCCCTCAAACCAATGTAGCTCAAAACGAACACATTCCTCTAGTCTAAGTGATCTGTTTTAGTTGCAATTGCATGACTGCGATTATCTGACTTTATGGGATGAAGTACACTACAGTATATGAGATATGGTACACATGTCTAAAGTAGCTGATCTTATTATTTCTTATTTATAATAATGTTATTATTTTAAGCATTTTATAGCATTTTTTATTCTGCTTACTTTTGAGTACAGAGCATATTTGACTCCCTCCCTTTTGGGATTCTGGCATACAGTAAGTCATAATTGTTTCCTCAACCTAATGACTTACCTTGTTCCTCACATAAAGCAGACTGAACATACAGTACCTGCAGTTAAAGTGCTGTGTCTCCTTCTAATTACATGGTTGGTTCCTCAACATTGTACCTAACCATTGTCCTTTAAACAAAAAAATTGTTTTGCTAAAGCTGTGACTTGATATCCCTTTGTAATCTTAGCATTTATATTCTCCGGCAGTGTGGGCAAAACACAGCTTGGTTCACTCCCATGCATTTCATGGCCAGACTGAATTGCAGTCCCCTCCAAGTTGACAACAGCAGCCACACTACAGAGCACATCAGATGGAGAAGTCAGAATCTGTTTCACCAGTTGAATTAAGTGGGAGCTTTATGAAGGCGTACTAACCCAGACTGGAATTCAGCCAGGATATTAGGATTAGGAACATTGCACTTTCATAACCTGCCATGGGATTTTTAATGACCAAATACTCAGCATCTTGGCTTAATGTCTCATTCAAAGGATGTACCACTAAGCGCACAATAGCCTTGGTCAGCATGGTAATGCACGCTCAGTGTGTATGTGGAAATGATTTGGAAATTCTGGTCCAGATAGAAGATCATCAACTACTGGTCCAGCAGCACCACTTACTGCAGCAATCAAGGCATCTTTGGAGGTTTCCCTCTCCGGTACTGACCAGACTCAGCTTTATTTAGCCTCTGGGGCCTGACGAAATCCAAGGTTTCAAAAGTAGTAAAGCTGCTGCCTTAAAGAGACAAGTAATGCCTTAAGGTAAAGCCAAATACCTGAGCTGCTATTACCTCCAAAATGATCAAACCCAACAAGAATTCTACTATTCTTTTTTGGTTATTGTTAGATTTTTAGATATTGTTTTAGATATCACTCTTCTCCACAGCTCCACTTACTGTGTTTTATTGTATTGGATCTGTTATCTTGTGTATTAATGCAATATCTTGAATCCTTAAGCTCTGTATTCTCATACTCTGTACTGTATGTGGGGCTTATTCGGTCATTTCTGCCTCATCCCTTGGCCAGGCAGCCAACACTCACACATCACTGTCATCTTATCAATACACACTTTGACGGTTTTGCATCCCAACTGAACAAAGTGGTTTTGATTGTTGTGACTAATGCCTCCTATTAAAGGATCAATATGGTTAGACACATTGCTCTCAAAGCCTTATATTATACAGTAACTGCAGTGAAGTTAAAGCAATAGGAAAGCATTTATCTTAATGCTAATCCTTCTTTGCCCTTTTTCATCAGCATGGTAATACACGCTCAGTGCGTATTGGGAAGCTATTATGTATTATTCCTCTGTACGGCAAGTGGAATCCACTTTGCTGTTGACTTGCAAAAGGATTGTACAGTAAGTCCTGTGCTCCTGTGATAGACGTGACTCGGTGCAGTTCTGAAGAGCAGAGCGGAGGCATCACTAATGGAATCACAGCACAGCCCAGTCTTCCTGAGAGTAAATCCGTTCTAAGCCTGGCATTGTGTTTTCCAAAAATTCCTAAGATAGTCGAATTTGTAAAACTATATTTTTGCCTCATTACTAAAGGTTGAAAAAT